TTATAATATTGTTATTTCCATATTGTACTTCATAAATAATGTACGCAATTAAGTAAAATATTAATTTAGATCCACAACTCACTGTGCCTGGTCACTACAACTACGCCTCCTATACTATTAACAACACAGTAGTACCGGTACTAATAATTGTCATTTAAATAATAAATAGTAATTAATGTGATATTTAATAATCGCTAAATGACAACAAAATACAGATTTAAATATTACATTTAAAAAACATAAAATGATTATCATTTTAAGGTTCTTGTATTTTGACCACAACTTTGCCATTACTACGACCGGTGTGCAGATGCTATTCATTGGGTATTCAAAAAATTGATGTAAAGTTTATATTGAAATCAAACAATTAGCGAAAGACAGACCTCAACACCTCTTACGACGGATTCAATGCCCTTAAACTCTCCTCCACTGGTATTTTGTCCCAAATCCAGAACCGCTTTCAATTCATTCTTCGCCAACATTTGGATTAATTTTGGTAAATATTGGGGAAACTCTTCGGTATATTGTGTAAATAAAAATCCGTTCAATGAGTTTGACTTTAGGATTAACTAAATCAACAATTAAACAAAAATTAATAAAATAAATTTATAAATATGTTGACAAGTTTTCACAAACTCTATTCGTTAGTTGCGATAGATTGCCAGCAATGGTAGAACCGCCGGTCGTGTATCCACTGATACTGCCCATCACCACAAGACGTCCTTTAATTCTTAAATGTTTAACTAATGTATTAAACATTTCGCCTCCGATTGACTCCCAGACAACATCAATGCCATCCTATTTATACATTACAAATATATTAATTATAAAACACTTTTTGTGATTAAGGCCTACAAACCGGGTATTCATTGCGGAGAACTTCGCTTAGGTTTTCAGTTTTATAATTGATAACTCGATCGCATCCCAACTCTTTCAACATGTTTGCCTTCTCTGGCGATGATGTGGTCCCGATTACGTGACACCCTTTCTTCTTAGCCCATTGAACACATAAGTGACCTTTCGATTCAAATTAAACAAAATACAGATAATTATTTAAACAATATTTAATACATATGGGTAAAGAATACACATTTAATTATATTTAATATTGTGGTACCTGTTCCGCCGGCTGCCGCTGTAATGAGCACTTTTTCGCCTTCTTTGATAAGTCCGCGCTTTAATTGAATATAGATATCATTAATTGTCAGTAAATCTATTTAAAACAAAACTGAATTACTTTATCGAGTCCTATACTAAACTAAATTGCAAATAATTTGCGACTGGGTAGAACACTTATAAAATTAAAAATAATTAAGATAATTAATTCAAATAAATTTTAATATAAAATATACTCAGTATTACACAATTAAGCAAATTTTTATAAATTTAAAACCACCACTTTGACCACAATGCATTATTCAATGCGCCGATTCATACACCTGGCTAACGACTCTATGTATAACTGCCTATGTATAAGTGCTCTATGTCTCAATTTTGGACATAAAATTATCAATTAAACTCTCGGTTAGAGGCTTTTCCGATATGTGAGCCTGACCAAATTGCGCACATTGTTGGCCCATGGCATTTTCATTGCGTGCATGGTGTATTCCGCATCCCGAATCAATCCTGGCCAGAGTAATGGAGTGTGTCCCGAGCCCCTTGTTTGACCGCATTGAATAATGCATTGTGGTCAAAGTGGTCATTGAAAATTTATAAAAATTTGCTTAATTGTGTAATACTGAGTATATTTTATATTTGCAAATAATTTGCGACTGGGTAGAACACTTATAAAATTAAAAATAATTAAGATAATTAATTCAAATAAATTTTAATATAAAATATACTCAGTATTACACAATTAAGCAAATTTTTATAAATTTAATGGCCAGAGTAATGGAGTGTGTCCCGAGCCCCTTGTTTGACCGCATTGAATAATGCATTGTGGTCAAAGTGGTCATTGAAAATTTATAAAAATTTGCTTAATTGTGTAATACTGAGTATATTTTATATTAAAATTTATTTGAATTAATTATCTTAATTATTTTTAATTTTATAAGTGTTCTACCCAGTCGCAAATTATATGCAATTTAGTTTAGCGGTCAGTCCGCTAACCAAAAGTGTCAGATAATCGGGTTTTAATTCGGGAACCGGTATTACATTCTCTTGTTTTATGTACTGTTTGTGAATAATATACGCTTAAATCATGTGGAAATAAAACCATTGAAATGCATTTTAAATTATACCACATATTCTGAATAGGCTTTAGACTCGAGGAAGAGTGCCGGCTGTCCCACACGATATTTGGTCACATTTTTGCCCAACGCATGGATTACACCCAAACCCTAAACACATACCGGTATAATACACAGTGTTTGAGTGACATTGATTGACATGAAATTATATAATTCATAACATGATAGATCAATAAATACCTCAAACCCCACATCAAAGGGCACTTTTGCATCTGTGAAGTATCTGCCGGCTGTTATGTTCACATCGGATGCGTTAACCCCGGCGTATATATTCTTGATAAGCACCTGATTGTCTGCCGGTGTGACTAATGGCTGCTCCACTAGTTTGACCGCTTCGGCAAAATTGGTCGTCAATTTAACGACTGATAATTTTCTAAACACTTGATTCATATCACTTATGAATTGATCGCAACACTTATTTGCTATATATTTATTACTGTATTGATAAATATGTACAAGTTGTACAGTATGTAATTTACTGCTAAATGTAATGAACTATTTTTACTAACTTGTATTTTTTATAAATTTGAAATATATATGGTATGACTTTTATTTTTATTAAACTCTTGTGTTTATATATTTCCACAATATTTATAATGTTTTAAATAATCACCATTTCTTCCTTAAAAGCCTTGATTATATAAATATCAAGTATTTTCAAATATTGAATACATTCAAGGCTAACATCATTTGAAAAGTATTTTATGTACAATAAGGACATATTCGCATTGATTTATATTTTATTTTTAAAATTTTACAATAATTGGTATATTTCATTCATTTATTTGCAATTTTTTAAAATTTTAACATCCAGTTTATAGAGCTATCAACTTTTAAGTATACAATCTAAAGTCTAGATCCTTTTTACTGGTCGGCTATATATTGCACTTATTTGTACTCTATTTGTGCACTTATTTGTATTTATACTGCAAGTAAAAGAACATATCTATTTGATTGTATTTATAAAATTGATATATACATGATATTGATATATAATTGTGGATAATATCCGTTTTCGAGTGCTTAAATTTAAATCATATAATATTATTAATAAATATAACATAAGGTTTTTGTATATAAATTTAATTATTTTAATTGACAACATTATATTGAAATTAGTTTTAATTTTAAACAATCACTAGAAATAAGCTCTGCGTGTTTGAGATAAATATTAAAAGTAATATCAAGCAAATAAAAGTTTAAAATAAACAATCACTTAATATGCATATCTCTAAAAACAATATAATTTCCCAAATTTTATTACTGGACACCGTCTGGTCTGGACTTATCGTTAGCGTATGTCAACTGATCCAACAATTTGGATGGTAAATAGACGGGCAACAAACATGATAGTTTACTCTTCAAACCCTCGATGGGTCGGTACATGATCTGCGGATCACAATTCTGTACGGCGTCCACCATATCGTCCACAACTAACTCAATATCAGTGCCCGCATTGAAAT